AGGAAATAAAGTTATTGTTAGGACCAATAAAAGAATTAACAATAAATTTGCAAACGTTTTTACGATTCAAAAGGATCTGGGATCCACAGTTTTAAAAGATAATAGGAAGGTTTACAAGAATAACCTTAGGTAATACTTTTTTTTCACCTTTACATAGTTATTTTACCACTTTTTCGTTCTTAGGGATCCGACAATAAAATTATTAATTTTACAAAATCCAACTACATAACAGTTATTGACGGAAATGTATGTTGTAGTTTGGGACAAATATAGCTACCTAATGCATCGAACGAATTACTAAAGTTCTTCAGGCAGACATTCATCAAATTTACGGATTGATTGGCACGGTGAAAATTCCACATAGACAAGTGTCACGCCGTGTATAGCAGGCCGTGTAAAAAACATGGCATTTCCAGATTTATGCTACACACTTCTAGCGACTATTCTTTTGTCCTGTTATTGTCATTTAAAATACAATTTTACCCGGAAACTGTACAGGTTTGAACTAAAATGGCAAATCGTGGGTAGTCAAAGGAATTCGTAGATTTTCGCACCATTACACAGTTTCGGCGCATGAAGATTGCGAAACATAATAATTACAAATCCAACTTTGAGAAAGAAAAAAAAGAATTTAGAAATTCCACTGGAGAATTCACGGCTTTGAATTGTCAAGACGATCGGAATTTGCCCATTTCCAATTCTTAGCGAATACGATGTAAAATATCTTCCGCAATGTAATTTTTGTTCGTATCCCATAATTGACGCAGATTTGAAGGCCCATATGTTGAAATTATCATCGCGAAAAGTGTGCGAACTTCATTGGCATGCGAAGTTTGATTCCAGCAATTACCAGTTTCCAGCAATTGTAATTGCTGTCATGATTCTCAAAAGGCAAACACCGTACCATTCACAGTACGCAACGACTCAAATGAAGTTGAACCGCATACATTATCAATAGCAACCGAAATTAGAAGCAATCGTCGTTTTTCGGGTGGATTGTGTAAATTCTTTCTAATGCATTAGCTGAGAAAACACCTGAATGTTCATTTTTTCGACGATGCATTCCATGTATAATATCAAGGCATTTCCGAATAGAGCAATTTCTCGCAAACGGATCAGTGACGCAAGTCGAGAATATACTCGTCAAGGGCAATTTTGTTGTTGGCGGTGCTTTCGTGGACTGTACTGTATTCTCTGGGTTGAAATACCCATGGCCTTCTCCGAATGAACTGCGAGATGCACAACAGTAGGAAAAGGTTTATGAATTGCAAAAGTAAGTAACCTACAAAGCCCTTCATTGCAGTTCATGTATCGACCCATTTGATAATGTCTCGTTCAAGACCAATATCCGCCATAGTGCTTTCTTTGGTGATATACTCGCAAACGTAATTGATCGATTTCATCAAGCAGCAATACTCAATGGTACAACAGCACCACATATGTATACGTTTCTTCAAGATAAAGTCCATCAAACAGCTGTTAGCTGTTGTTTCAAAAGTCGTGCTGTAATATCGTGATGATCGCTTGCTGATTGGTAGCGATCCATAATTCCATACGTATGTCATCGCATCCTGGGAACACTCGTTCATGTGTCTTGGGCTGCCACACGTTGATGGCGAAAAGAACGCCGACCGATATTAGCGCAATCTCTTCTTGGCTTCGTAGCAAATCTCAATCTGCAGTTGATCACTTTTTGTGGAATACACATAAAGTTTGCACTGAATAATTTTCAATGATTTTTCGTTTGATTAGCTGGAATAAAAAAGCAAACGACCGAAATTGAACGATTCAAATAATTTACAAATCAAAATATTGAAAAACAAAACCAAAAAACATTATAAAAAAAATTTGTGGAAAAATTTTATTTTTGGAATTGTCCAATTTGGAAAATAGAAAGTAGCCGATTCGCAGACCTACTGAATACGTATATAAAATTTGATAAAAATCGGTAGAGGCGTTTCGGAGGAGTACGGTAACTAACATTGTGACATGGAAATTTTATATATTATTGCTCGCACCGTATTCATTGTACGACTTATTTATTTTTACGAAAATTCTAGGTGGAGCTGAATTTTCAAATGAGGAGTGTAGATTGGTTAAAGGAATGAGTCAATCTGGCAAGAAAATTTGGTAAATAGCTATTTTTATAAAGAGGCATAGGAACACAATAACACATTCCAAAATCCAAATAACTATGTATAGGTACCATTGATCTCAGGAACTAACGGCGCATTCAGCAGCTAGCCGCCAATAGTGACATGAGTTCCAAGCAAATAAAAGCGGAACTTAATCTAAATGTGACTAAACAACGGGTGCAAAAAGTAATAAGAAAATAGTTATGCTTTAAATATGACGACCCCATTCCTAAAGAAACGTCATATCAATATATCAATTGCATTTTATGAGAAATATAAATTTTGGGACTAAGAATTCGAGTCTGTGGTTTTCAGTAACGAAAATAAATTTAATTTGGTCGAACCAGATGGTATTTATAAATATTGGAGAGATTTGAGATGCCCCAAAGCATGTCATAGTCGCCCTCAATGTGGAAACGGATCTAGTATACTGTTCAGAAGTTAACCTTTTGATAAACGCGCTAGAACCGAAACTTGATCTACATGATTGGCGTCTATTCATTGATTCCTCTAAACTTAGTTTAAAATAAGTTCATAACAGTGCCCAAGCGATTGATATGAAGGAATTATATGAGAATATGAGAGTTCTTTTAGGGCACATCCGTTATCTTGAGTATGGTTGAGCAATATGTGGAGATGTAAAAGTAATAGCCCTTCTTCTTGGAATGCAACAAGGATAAACGAAATATTGTGGCTTTCTTTGCAAATGGGACAGTCGTGCGAGAGACTGTCATTATGTACAGAAGCAGTGGACAGTACGTCAGGCACTCACTCCGGGGCAAAAAAAACGTTACCAGTGCCTACAACCTTTGCATATTAAATTGGGTTTAATGAAGAATTTTGTTAAGTCAATGGACAGAAATGGAAGAGGGTTCCTTTATCTGAAACAAAAATTTCCAAGAGTCAGTGAAGCAAAAATGAAGGAGGGCATATTTGTGGATCCGCAAATAAGAGAACTAATGAAAAATGAAACGAAAAAGCCTCCATCTGAATACCTCGAGAAATGCATCACCTTTAAAACGCATATCATTTTTTTTTTCAGATGATCTGGTAACGATTTTTTCAAGGCCCTTCTTGAGATTCACCGTTATTTATTAATAGTTTTCATTAAAAATTTGTTGAAATATACTTCAAAAATTGTACAATAATATGTCATTAAATTAAATAACATTATTATTATAAATATATATATATTTTTTGCTTTAAAACCTTAACTAAACCGTTAAAGAAACCGTTTAGTTCTACTAAATTTAAATATAAAACTGTAATTTGGTACAGGGGATCATAGTAGCAAGGGGCACCTGTGAAAAAATTTTTTTGAAAAAGTGAGCCCCCGCCATCTAATAAGTTTAATGTACATATCTTCTATACTACTAAAGCTATAAAAACAAAATTTGCTAAGTAAAAATCTTATAAGAACTTCTACCGACAGTGTACAAATGAATGAAATCGGAGGATAACCCCGCTTATTCTCCACATAACGGTAGTATTAAAAAGCGCGATAAATTAACAACTAAATACGCCAGATACCTTATGAGAGAGGTTTATGGGAGCCGGAGTGAAAATTGGACGATGGTAGTGGCACCTCCCACTTTTTGGTAAAATGCCATATCTTCATATCATATTTTTCCACTTGATTCGTTCAGTTTCCAGTGCACAAATCAAGAAGTAATTAATATAACGGGATACAACTTTGAATGAATAATGTCTTTAGTGTGTGCCACTCTATGACCAAAAATTCAAGCCGCTGTGTACTGAATTTTTAGACTCCGGTACCTATACTTGACTTTTGATGGAAAATGTCGGTCAATGTGTGATACATATAACTGAAATTAAGGCATATTCCTTATCTTATAAAGGTATGTCTGTAGGTCCAAAATTGGTTGAATCGGACCAACACTTTTCCCTTAGCCCCCATATATATAAATACAATTTTTTTGTTTTACTCTAAACAGTGTATCTTTGTGACTAAAATATATAAATTTGAGCGAAAACTAATATCAGGATTTTCGAACATACGACCTACTTTATTCTATATGATTGGTTTTACAGCTTAAAGCCTTAATTCTTGCAAGTTACAAGAGTATAAAATGTTCGGTTGCACCCGAACTTAACTCTTCCTTACTTGTTATCGTATTCCTTTGTCACAGACGAAATTGGACTACAATCACGCCTTCTTTTCATATAACACAATTCTAAATTCCATTTGATCTTTTCACCTTCCAGTGCAGTTCCATATCAATAAGTAATTATAATAAATGAAGACAATTTTGCACGAATAATTCCTTTAAAGCATGCCATTTTTTACGATGAAGCTCCAGTTAGGACCAGTGCTTATTGATGGTATGGTGAATTCAATCAGGTCGTACATATCGGGAAATTAGTACCAGCGTACATTCATTATTGAAAAGAAATATCTTCACGTTGAACTCCACAAAATTTGACAATCGTTTAAACAGTGCTCATGTCTATTGGTCGAGAGAAATGTTAAAAAATACGATAGCGGTGCTTCGAAATACCTCTATGATATTGCGACAGGTGATGAATAAGGGTGTGCCCAAACACTTCCAAGCAAATTGTTGCCTTTTTTTGTATAAAAATGCTTCGTAAATTGGTTCAAACGTATACATAGAGATCTTAATGGCGAATATTTTGACAAATAATACAGCGAATTGCTCTGATTTAAATTGGTTTTTGGGTCTTTAATTCAGAAGTATAAAAGGCAGCTCTTTTGCTAGGCTTAAACCAAAGTCAACTAGAGACAGAATACGTATTTTCCAAATATAATTTATTGTGAGGTTTAGTTTATTTACACAAAAATTTTGTTAAAATCATACATGAATTTCGATGTTAATTTTTTTTTTATTTGACTGTACATAATTTTTTGCAATAATTCAACATGTGGAAGAAATTTTAAAATGTAGCATAAAGTTCTTCCTGGATGCTATTTGATCGTAATAACTGCGTTGTTGATGGCCCTCCATTTAACGACTGAGTGATCGTTTGGGTTGAAGTGGCGTGACTTTCTTTAATATCCTTATACATGTCAGCGAAATCCTATATGAAAAGTGTAATTCATTTATTGGTACTTTGTAAAATTACCTAATAAACATACCTTGAGTCGATTTCCCAGGAACACAGCTCGCTCCCTTTTCTTGATCATATAGTCAGAAGACATAAGCCATCTATGCTCCAAACAATCCTCAGAATATGGTCGTTTCCTTATATTTAAAAATTAAAAGATGTTAATTTAACGCTTAGCTTTGAATAATTCAAAATTTAACAAATGTTTCTACGAAAACCTATAAATTGCCACAACTAAGCACTAAATTAATATATAAAACTATAATTAAGCACGCAAAAGATACATGTGAGAATTTTTCTTGAAAAAATGAGCCTGGCCGCCCTCTAATAAGTTTAATGTACATATCTCTCTGAAGGGTATCCAATGAGGATGGCTTGTAAACAAAAAATCAGAACTGCTGTTAAGAAATAGATATGTAGCTTATAAATAAATTAGTAGTAGAAATCATCACTCCTACTTGTATACCTATTTATTAAGTACCAATAGTCTTAGCACTTAATTGTATACAGCAACACTGCAACATTGTTTCAAACTAGATGTATGCTTGCTTTAATTCTTAGCGCCAGCAATAGCCAAACCGGTTTTGTCTATTTGAGTGACTTTGATAACGCACTCTTATCCTACTTGCATAGGCAAGTATACATACCTACATTAATGTAAATGCATAGAATTAGAACATGTACCACTATCTCAGCTGATCTTTATACCGTAGCCACCGTACTTGAGCTAAANTATACATACCTACATTAATGTAAATGCATAGAATTAGAACATGTACCACTATCTCAGCTGATCTTTATACCGTAGCCACCGTACTTGAGCTAAAGTTAAGGCTGTAGGTTAATCAACTTGTTAAGCTGTTATTTTTAGTCAGTCGCCATTGGATGTCACCCAGAGAGAGAGATTAAACATTAATATAGCAAACAGTTAAATTCGTTGGTTTTCTTTCAAACATTAAACAGGCAAAAAAAAAAGCTTATTGTCCTCCAAACATTTGGTGACCCCGACGTGATCGCGGAATTAACATTATCAATAATTTCATAAATTTTCGCAAATCTATTTAAAATTTTACGGTCGTTGACAAAAAATGGCACCCAAGAAAATGGAATCAGCTGAAGCCAAGAAGAAGCTAGATTCATTTATCCAACAAGTCACCGTACTCAACAACACTTTGACTTTCGATGTCTTGCGTGAATTCGACGAAGCTGCAGTGGAGGTACGTATCGAGCACGTGGATAGGCTGGAAAAAAGGTTCGATGCGCTCTACACGCAACTAGAGGACAACGACGCTGATGATCTTTCAGCGGAATTTACCAACCACTATATCGAGGTAAAAACGAAGCTGACACGTCAGCGGCACTCCTGCCTAGCTTCCGAAGCTCACAGCTCTACGACGCGGCCGTTTGTTGGCGATCAAACTTCAATTATTGTCTCTCAGCCAAAGCAGAGGTTACCGGTCCTGCAAATTCCAACGTTCAACGGAAAATATTCGGATTGGCCAGATTTTTTCTCGCTGTTCAACACCGTTGTACATCAGGACGTAGATTCAACGAGAATTGAGAAATTCCAGCACCTTCGGTCAAGTCTACGTGATGCAGCGTTGGATACCATTCGTTCATTAGAGATAAATGAACAAGATTATGATAAGGCTATTGATTTGCTAAAGGCTAGATTTGATAATAAACGCTTGAATTTACAGGCTCAGATATTTTTCAGCTCAAGAGGGTAGAGGGTGATAAGGTTGCCAAACTTCGAGAACTCAGCGATACCGTAATGCTCACTTGCGGGCTTTGCAAACTATGGGAACGAAGGAACAGATTGCTGACTGCTTACTTATTCAACTAGTGTCTCAAAATTTGGACATCAAATCTCGCGCGAAATGGGAGGAACGAACACCTGTAAGTGAAATACCTACATGGAATTTAATGGCTAGATTTTTGGAACAACGCTGCCAGCAGCTGGAAAATGTAGAGAATATCCTTGGATTTCCGGAAAAACAGGTAGGCAAGAAATTGTCAAATCACATAAGTCGTAAGGTTCTTTTAACGGCATCTGTAGCTGGATGCATATTGTGCAGTTCTAGTGAGCACAAAATCGCAAGGTGCAAGCAGTTTCTAGGCCTTTCGCCCACAACGCGCTATAAAGAAGCAAATCGCTTAAACCTATGCTTAAATTGCCTTAGACTCGGTTGTGTCTATTTGAGTGACTTTGATAACGCACTCTTATCCTACTTGCATAGGCATGTATACATACCTACATTAATGTAAATGCATAGAATTAGAACATGTACCACTATCTCAGCTGATCTTTATACCGTAGCCACCGTACTTGAGCTAAAGGAAAGGCTGTAGGTTAATCAACTCGTTAAGCTGTTATTTTTAGTCAGTCGCCATTGGATGTAACGGTGATCGCAAGCGCAAGCGATTAAACAGCATTAAACATTAATATAGCAAACAGTTAAATTCGTTGGTTTCTTTCAAACATTAAACGGGCAATAAAAAAGCTTATTGTCCTACAAACAACTGCAATAAAGAGTTTTATAAGATATTTACTTTTGCAGTTCATTTGAAGAAGGCCAAAGAGTGCATTTCAACCCAGAGAATACAGTAAAGAGAGTGAAAACACCGCCAATAATAAAATTGACATTCACGAGTATTTTCTCGACTTGCAAGAACATTGCTCTATTTATAAATGCCTTGATATTATACATGGAATGCAGCGTTGAAGAACTTGTTACGCAGAAAGCAAAGTCAACCAGTAGATGGGCATCCAGGTATGTTCCCAACTAATGCATTAGAAAGAATTTACACAATCCACCCGAAAAACGACGATTGATTCTACCTTCGGTTGCTATTTATTAAGTGGTTCAACTTCCATTGAGTCATTCCGTACTGTGAATGGTACGGTGTGCGCAACTTTTTGAGAAGCATGCCAGCAATTACAATTACTGGAACATGATAATCACTGGAATCAAATGATGGTCGATGTGACAGCTACTACGCATGCCACTGAAGTTTGTAAATTTTTCGCGATGATCATTTCGCCATAGCGGCCTTCAAATCTGCATCAATTATGGGATACGAACAAAAATGACATTGATGTAGATATTTTACATCTTATTCGCTAAGGATTGAAAAGGGGCAAATTCCGATCGTCTAGAAGACGAAGCCATGAATAATACAATATAATTTCTAAATTCTTTAGAGAGGCTTGGTATGCCGCAGCAGCATTTGCATCTCAAAGTTGGATCTGTCATTATAATATTTAGTAAAATTTATGCGCCGAAATGAATGGAACCCCATTGATTGTGACGCAGTTATCGAATACAAGGGGCAGAATGCTTGATTCTACGAATTCCTTTGAGTTCCACGATTTGCCATTTCTGTTCAAATCCATTCAGTTTCCAGGGAAAATATAAAATTTAACAATAGAGGCCGCCTGAATTAAAAACAGCTTCAATCGAAAATTCTGTATCGATCACATTCTTCAACTTATTTTCAATGGGGGATGCCAAAGTGTGCAAAGCCTTAACTGAAACCTCAATCGCAAAATGCTACATGTGCCAGGCCAACTCTACTGAGATAACCGATATTGACAATTGTTTGAAAAGAGAAGTACGAACATTTATTATGAAATTTTTATAAATAAAAGGTGCGTTCCAAAGTAAACAGAACTTAAAAAAACAGAACAAATGGTTTTGTCGGCAAAATCAATTTATTTTATTCAAAATAGTTCCCTTCTACTTCAATACAGCTTTTTGCATGGTGTAAAAGCTTGTCGAACGAGTGTTTTAGTTCGTTGGCCGGTATGGCCGCCAGTATGCCGATGCAAGCCTTTTGAATGGCTTCTACATCTGCATTACGCTTTAATTTCATGGGCAAATGCATTTTCCGAAAATGAAGAAGTCGCACGGTGCCATATCAGGTGAATATGGGTAGTGGTTATTGTTTCAAATGTGATTTTCGGTCAAATAATCGATTCTGAACAATTGCAATTTCAATGATGATTTCGGTTGATTATTGAGGAATTCACGCACGTTTCGATGGAATTTCCGGTGATCACGGATTTCGATTGGCCCACGTGTTGATCGTTATTTATGTCCTCACGACTTTGAAAACGTTAAAACCACTCGTGCACTCTTCTACGGGATCATCGCCATCAACTTGTTGTTATCAATTCAAACGTTTCGGTAAAAGTTTTACCTATTTTAAGACAAAATTTAATGTTGACTCTTTGTTCGAAGCTCATTTTCGCACCTATAACACAAACATAAGAAAGATGGCAGATTCTAACGAACCAGTCGACATATACATGGCACCACTAGGGAGCGCAATATTAAAAAATTCCTGTTTAATTTGGAACGCACCAATATATTTTCTTGATGTTAATTTAATTCTTTATCATCGACGGGTAAGGAGTGGCAAACGGGAGAGGGCTTTGGTGCAGTTTATTTATTTTAATATAATTATTGATTACTTTTTATGATTTTAGAAAGCTTAGGCAAAATTTTAATTTTATATTAGCAGTAGAAGTATTTTTGGCCGCTGATTCCATAACAGGAAATACTATTTGAGTGTCATGGTCGGAATTATGGGCCGACAACTCTTGGTTTTTGCACTACGATAATGCACCTTCGCATAATGTATTGATTCAAACATATGCGCTTGATTTAGCTCCGTGTGACTTCTGGCTATTCAGCAAACTGAAATTTTTTGCTAACTAACGTATAATATCGGATATATATATGTATACAGCTTAGTTATGAAAATGTTAAAAATTGGTTCACGAATTACCCCACATACACATACTATATACATACATATATATGCATATTGATGTTCGTTATTCTAGCAGACTTTATTATGAATATGTCAGTCAGTGTGTAAGTTATCTTTATAAAATTGTAAAAAGGTCAATGAACTAGTCCGAATCTTTAACCCTAGCCCCAATGTAACCAATGTAGTGATTTTAGACTTTTTACCATTAAACCGTTTATGAATGAAATAAGTTAATTAGGTTGAGTAGAATGTTAATACCCCAGATAGGAATCAAAATATTTTAATGGAGCTAAGTGAATTTATGATCTATAACATAAATTAATAAGTTATAAATATGTACTATGATTTAAATCTAATCTTAAAACCCAGAAAAATAATAGCAGGATGAAACTTTTTATAAAGAAAAAAAAACACACATATCAAAGAAACTACAATTTAAGACCGGGAAGTTAAAGATAGTTTCAATATATTTTAGTAAACCCTCAAATCCTTCCTTTTATGTTTGCATTTATTAGGTACAAAAACACTGAATCGACATCTTTAGCACTAAATCACAAGTAAAGTTGTCCCTATCTAGTTCACCTAACTTGAAAATGTGTTTCTTCTGCCTTCGTTATAGGTAAACAGAAAAAGGTATGGTGATACGATATTTTGAAGTAGGTAAGTGATTGAAAACCTAGATTGGCGTATATTTAATTTCCATAGTATTTTTCTCGGTATTTTTTAAGTGTATTAATCAACTCTTACAGTGTATTTAATCATAAAATTACAAGGCACTTACGTAGGATGTCGTTTGAAAAGGAACATAATAAATCGAGTTGCTTCGGGAGTAACTTCTTTATATAGGTTCTCAAATCTATAGCGAGCAAACGATATATTTTGCTTTGTATCATAGTCATCAGTTCCGCGAAAAGGACTTTTTCCAGAAAGCAAAAGATATGTCAGCACACCCACAGACCAAATATCACTTTGCGGGAATATAGGTTCTTCGTTCACCATCTCAGGAGATTGAAAGTCAAGCATGCACCTCGCTGCAACTTTTGCTCCTAATTTACTAACTCTCTTTGAGGAACCAAAATCAATCAATTTTATTTGAACCGATCGTACTGATGCCATTACAATATTGTCAGGTTGAATATTTAAATGACAATAACTTCTCCAATGCAAGTATTGAACTGCGTCTAAAAGTTGTGTTATAACCGTTGCTACCATTTGCTCAGTGTATTGATGGCGACTGCTAAAGTATGTCAATACATCAGCACCCTGAAGTTTCTCCATTATAAAAATAGCTAATGGTACATTAACTGGTTTATATGCTGCAAATAGTGCTGCAATACGTTCATGTCTTAACGTTCTAAAATTTTCAAATTCTTCTAATATAAGAGGTTCAGTTTCCGCATTTAAATCAAAAATTTTAGCTACTGTTATTGCGTTGGTGGATTTTTGAATTCCTTTTACAATGGTACTGAATTCTCCTCTATGTATTTCCGATATAAAACTATATTTTTCATTAACACTGTTATCAGTTATCCAATTTGGAGGTTCACATTCACAATGATAGTCAGTATGAACTCGCTCTTCTTCTGCTACGATTTCTTGTCCGCTTTCTGTTAGTTTTTGTAAATGTTCCATTGCCTTTGATATCTGTATTTTTGGTGAATCTATAGCTGCTGTTTCGGCTGTCAACGGGATACTCATTTCACTCCAACCAATTCGATTTCTAGATGCCAATCTAAATTGGTATTTAGTGTTAGGCTGCAGATCATGCACAAAATAAAATTCATGGTCAATATTATCAGCAATCGTTGTCCATATATCCGAGCTAAATTCTTTCTTTTGTAAACTATAACATAAAACTGTTGAGTGACCATCATTTCGTGGCTGTTTCCATCTAAGAAGAACTTCCTTGCCACTAGCTGCAGATACTTCAGGAGAGTCCGGAGCATCCGGCAATGTAGCAACAACTAACCGACATCTGGACACTGTTTGACCAAGCGAATTTCTGGCGACGGCTTTATATATGCCTATATCAGTATGGAGAGCCGGATCAAAACGTAAAATAGATCTTCCATCTTCATCAGTTAATATTTTAATTCTGTTTGACTCAATTAGCACCATGTCATTTTTAAACCATTGTATACACGGTTTTGGGTCTCCAACTGCCAAACAATGTATGTGTGCTGGTTGATATTCCACAATTGCAAGTGTTTGGGGCTTTTCTCTGAAGAAGGGAAGACATCCTTCTCTTTGGCTTTCAATTAGTGCCTCAGCTTCCGTATATTCATCAAGTCTGGGACCCAATTCTGTTCGAAGCCTACGAATAGTGAACGAGTCATTCGAGCTATACAAATTTATTCTGCTTCGAACTCGTTCATCATCAATTTCTTCATCCATTATATCAGTAAATCGTCGACGTTCCCGAATAACTGGCAACTGTTGAGAAATAATTAAAATTAGTACGTAAATATAATTTAAATTTACGAAACTATGCATATACAAATTTTTGAATTTAATCATATATCACATATTTTCAACAAAAGAAAACTTTAAGTAATCATTGAAATTAAGTGTTGACAATATCAGGATTCGCGACCCCGTCAATAATAAAATTATAGATTCTGATAATTGATAAGCTTAAAAAATCCTGGTAATGAATAAAGTTCAAGTAATAAAAGTCATCAGTTTTAAATGTCGAAGTTCCAATGAAGAACATTTCTCCAACCGATGATATTTTCATTTCGCTGGTACTTAGGATTATGTTAATAAATATTAATTCCAGAAGTTGTAACAGTTTAGTCAAGAAATAATATAGAAAAACTTGTGGCAAAATATATAAACTAATCATATAAAAACAATGATCCCGATGAATATGTGTTCCACATTCGAAAAACAAAAACTGGAATCAGATCAAGGAAAAGTTATGTACATAGCTGTTGACTACCATATCGACAAATATAGACGTTGTTTTTGATTGGCATCAACTTGTTCTAGGAAGAAATTTATGACTTCCGAACATATGATTTTTTAGATGTTATTTCAAAGGGTACCGGACTTTCATCTATTATCAGGTGCCGGTACATACTGATTTTCATAATTTAATTAAAGTTAATTTAAATATTCTTGCTTAACTTTATTACATACATACATATCTTCAGTTGAGTTACATGAGAATGAGAATATGTAAACTCAATCTAAGGAATGAAATCTAAAACCTTGGAAATTGAGGAAAAGTAACTGGATATCAGAAGAAGAACTGGATACCCGAATATCTTGGTATTAGGGATTTGGGTTAAGGCTAATTTCATTCATATTCAGTTGGTGGGTACCTTGCCGTAGTTCAGGGGCTTAAGTTGCAAAGCATTTTTCGGTATCTCCCAACCGGTAAGGGTGGTGCTATCTGGTTTTGCTCATACGAGTTGTCAGAAAGAGCTTGCGTACGGTAACCAAGATCCGTTCTACCCGTTCCCATGACAGTTTTGTGTGAGTAACCGGAATAGACCCGGATTATTATCTGACCAAAGACTGCCAACTCGGCACCATTCCTTGAAATTACTTCAGGAACATTTTCTGCCGCTGCAACAACTAATGCTGCCACCTCCTAATCCAGAGTGTCATGCGACTTCTTTATCCATTGGGTGATTGCAGACAGGAAATTACTTTGGATGTATTCGGATGAAGCTTTAATAACACCGGGTCGCATTGGAAAGTAATGGAGGCTTTACTACGTCATGGGACTCTTGCAACTATGCACAGTCGACCGGCATAAGGATGGTTATGATGACCTTTAACTATCTGGTTTAGACCCTGGGATCGGAGGAGCCTACCGGCTTTAGGAAAATGTATATAGGGGATGTGGATATCCTGTATCCTTCCAATGGTGTACTTCAAGGAAGGCATGCTCCATATGGACGCTAAAGAATGATTCCGTCCTCTGCGCAAAGAGGAGAGATGACATTCTGCCCATCCTTAGCATAACGGTGTCCCTCTCCAGATGTGCTGACATGTTTGGTCTCGGGATCGTCAGGAATCAGAATGAGTGCATAAATACCTCGGCTTAAGTCACAAAGGTCTTAAGTCACAAAGGTATAGTCAAGAATGAACTGGCTAACAAGTTTTCCAGCTCTGCAGCCGGAACCCTGTATCGCGGTTGGTCCTCATACCATAAACGAAGCGCTCCGAAAGGTGGAAAAGTAGGAAGAGGGAAGTCTTGGCAACAACAACAAAACATGCGCCAGGCCAAGTTGCTAAAGGGTAGTTACAATCTTAGAAGGTTAAAAAATGTAGGTCGCGGTACAAATCTCAATTATTATTTATTTAAGTGTCTATCTATTCAGCTGGTGGTTATTGAACTAAACCTTAAGCTATTTAAGCAACTAGAAAGTTAAAGAATGGAGCCAATTTCAGTCGTTATCGGAAGAGGGACATTCAATTTAATTGATAATATCACAGAAAGACTCTTTGTGAATTTACCAACAACAGTGATGTGGATTAATATTGACCAAGATATGTGGTATATATTTATCTAGAAGTTGGAACCGATCCGATTCCCAAATTTGGTAGTGTGGTCTTTGATATCTCATTTTATCTAAGAGTGGGCGGTGGCACTCCTTCACCCAATTAGTTATCACATTTGTGTATAATAGCTTTCAAAATAGCTTTTATAATCTGATTTCGCTTTATCTTTAGCCAATTTTGGTCGATTATAGTTTATTGGGTTGGAAGATTATGCCTATTAGGGGCGAAGCTACAAATGTACATGCATACTTTGATATCATAAACCAAATAATAGATTTGTATCTTAATTTTCTCTCTACTTATGATTTTATAAGATTAACGACATTTTGTGAGCGTGGTAACAGTCCGATACCTCCCTTCGAAGCCGAAGCACAAAATTAATTTTAATTTAATTTACTCAAGTTACTTGATGACGGACGAACGAACAAAATAATTCAAACTTTTTCTAATAATAAGGTATTGTGCTGAAGATGGATAAAACCAGGTGAATACCTTCCCTAGCGCCCGCATACTTGATATAAAAAATTATAAACATTCGACTAACTTTACACCTTATAATATAATCATAAATAGTATACAAATTGTCTCAACTAAATTCAGAGAGAACTTTTTTTGGTTAAAAATATGTATGTCGTAATGTCAAACTTGGATAAAATCAGATGAATACTGAAAAATAGAATATTAGTTACATTTATCAACTATGAGATTTAAGGCAGAGATGAAGGCAGAGAAAGAATAAATGAAGTTCAAAATAATTAAATTAATGATTGAAATAAATATTTGTTGGCCTTAGTTTTTCAGCATGCATATACCATCTGAATGATTGTATTCATTTATGTTTTGTGTATTTTGTACGACGATTGGAATTTAAGTGAGCTCTTCCCAATCCACAAGAAGAGAGACTATATAAGGTTCTATCGAGAGTACTGTTTGAAAGATTAAGACCCTTTAAATCTCCGTCAGGATGGGGAAGGACCTCTCTGAGTTGCCAAAGAGATTTTAAACAAGGCTACTTCTTTTCGTGCGACTTCTTCAGTCTACTCTTGGAGAAAATAAATCGAGATGCTGAACTAAGTAGAGAAGGAGAGATATACGATGACATTGATACAGTTCAGCGAATTAAAAGACAGCGGCTAGACTGGCCAGGTCATATCTTTCGAATCGACGAAAACGATCCGGCTCTAGTGTGCTAATAGTGTAAATTTATATCTTTTTGAAAATAAAACTTAATGTACTTAATATATATACAAGTATATGAGATATAAGAGATAGTACTTACAGACCAATCAACGCTATCGTTGAGTGCGAATGAAGGTGATCTTCTGTGAGCAACTTTCATATATTCGCGCAACCTTACAGGAAAACTAACATCTCTAAGTTGTAGAAGATAAGTATCTGGCCCATATTGGTAGCTGAAATTAATAATAATACAATCTTTGTACTTTAAGATTATTTCTAAATGTACTGAATAATGAAAAATAATTATATACATTTATCACTATCGTTTCTATAGTATCAGATGAAACTAAGATTGGGAAGCAAGTGAGAACTACATGAAGTTTTTACCCAACAACTGTGTATTTTGTGTAAATATATAACATCGGATGGAGGAACTAAATGAAACTCAAAGATTTGCTAACGATATGTCACAATACAAATAAATATTTACTGGCTTTTTATAAAAATTATATTTTATAAAAATTAAGTGAACATATAACACTGTATATACTAAAGTTTAATTTCGAAAATGTGTGAGATCGATCAGGAACTATCCTATCCCGTATATGGAACCTATAATGGGTTTCCTCATTCTAGCAGACTGTGTGACCAATATGTCTGTTAGTGTATGAATTAGTTTAAAAAATTGCAAGAATCATGCTTTTTAAGTATAATTAAAAGTTGAGCTCCAATGTACCCGATATATGTACTGACTTACCGTAAATGTTGGTCAGAAAAAGTGAGAATTTAATGAATTTCAGTGCAGAAGTTTTGCTAACCCAACGGTTGATTGTATCCCCTAAAACTAATCGAAATATGTAGAAGGGTGTTATATGTAAACAAATGTGAACAAATATAATATATAAGTATATAAATTATCCGCGCAAGGGTTGGCAACGGACCAATGACATGCCCACAACACGCCATTAATTGAAAGCCTCCCTGATTTGGCAGGAAATTCCCTGATTTTTATCTTTGGCACTGATTCGCTGATTTTCGTGAAAATTCCATGATGTCCGTGAAAAAATGAAAAAAGGTTTCCTCCTAAATCGGCGAATTTGTTTTGTATTATTTTTGTTTTTTGAGCGAGTGCGTGAAAAAAGTGAGATTCACACCGTTTTAGTCTACTTTTGCGATTTGAAATTGGGTGCTACTTGCGATGCATTTACTTGAATAACATCATTCATGCTTACGTTCCAAAACTCGACCGAGTTTAATTATCGCATGTTTTTCGGTATAAAACTCCTGCGCGAGTTGAACTTCGTGAAAGTTCTCAAGTAAAATTAATGAATGGGGGGAACATAAGCGACGGGGCTGATTTAAATTCAAAAATAAGATACAACGCAATTCACTCATGGTTGATAAATTTTTTAAATAGGGGCCTGGCACCACTCTTTAACAATTTTCATGCAGATATATTTTAAACTACTGAAGCTAAAATAACCAAATTCGCTCAGGGAAAATCTCTTTAGTATCCTTATTCAATTCCTATGTCCAGCTTTTGATCGAAACTATAGGTCAATCTGTGAATTGTGTCTAAAATAGATAAACTAGTCCTGGCCCCCTTAAAACAATTATAATGATTTTTGAACATCCGGTTGACCTTACATCTTATGTGTTGGTGATGTGTGTAATGTTACGTACCTTAATGAGATTTAAAGAGCATATTTTATTTTAATAACACAGTACAACAGCTAATCTGTGGGGTGAGAAATTCCAAGTCAGGGTGATGGTACTAGTTCAGTATAGTAAAACCCTCAAAGGGTTTGGTGTTCGTATGTGTCAGTTTTTTTTTATGACCTTTTCAATTTTTTCCTTATTTCCCATGGTTTTCCATTTTAACAAATTAATTTTTTCCAATCAGGCGTACTAAATGGTCCAGATAAACGAAAGCTGATTAAAAGAGACGCATTCAACAATATTTTGATTGATATATATTGAATGCATGGCAGGCAATCAAAGAAGTAATAGAAGGTTTGTTGGGAAAGCATCGTTCTAACAACTACGATGTTTCTGTCGCAAGGATGTTAAGAGCATTCTCGGAAATTTATTTATTTTTTTTTTTTGTTTTTGGTTTTTTGCCAAAATGTTACAACTAAGCGAAAACAATCAAGATAAGGAAAAAAGGGGTCATAAGGTCATAAAAAAAACTGACACATACGAACGCCAAACCCTTTGAGCGTTTTACTATACTGACCTAGTACCATCACCCTGACTTGGAATTTCTCACCCCCCAGACAATAATCCTAAAAATGTTCCACAGTGTAATACGCAGCATTGTCAAAACAAAAATTAACCCTATATAAATCTAATACAAGTTTTTCAAATTTTCGGTTGGACTATGTATATACATATGTATATATATTGGTCAATGTGCAATATTTGGCTCTATTGTAGTTTAAAAAATATGTGAACGTGAAAATAACCAGACAAATAAATTAGGAGAAAATATTTCGATTATTACCATGTGATTCAATTTGTAATGTAATAATGTCAGTTGCTGGTAAAATGATATAATTTGAGTCCTTTTTTAGTAAGGTTGATTCTGAAGGAGACATTTTGACTATAAAAATAAATGAAGAATGAGACTACTTGCGCACTTGATCTAATATAGTTAATTGACATAAATATATTTTAACAAATTTCTTGAGTAAAAAATGTTCAGATGTGCTCGAACTTAGCTATTTCTTACTTTTTCGTAACTAAAGTAGCAAAAAAGAGAAGTTTCAGTACTTACTGACTTTCGGACTGAATTAAGCCCAACTCATAATCTGGATGTAAATATTTTGACATTGTGTTTTCGCGTTTGGTGGAATATTTTTTTGGTTCTGGCAAAACTTCTGGAGTCGGTTCAGGGGTATATGAATGACCTGGTGGATAAACCATTCTAGATGGATGAGTGTAACAACCACTGAGTCGTCTACGTCGGAAATATTGTTTGCAGGCAGCATTTTCACTCCAATCATCAAATTGATCTTGATAGCTTCGTAGGTTGTCTGTGGTGATCTGATATTCTGTTCCAGTCGGTAATGAGTCTAACATAAAAAACCATGGATGTTTTAACGCTGTTTTGACATCCATCCGATCATCTGCTCTATACGACAAAAGGCGGGAAATAAAATCTCTTCCATCAGCGGATATATGAGACCAAATTGAATCGCTGAATTCCCAACGCCCCTCACGAATTTTTGATAGTGTTTCATAGTCATCGTTACCCCGGAAAGGGTTTCGACCACTTAGTAGAACGTAGGTTATAATCCCTACAGCCCACATATCATGAGCAAATCCAACACCCTCTTTATTAACAACTTCAGGTGAAACGTATTCCGGCATTCCAAAGTCTAAAGTAGTTAGAGCGTGTCTATTAATTTTTCGGGAGAGACCAAAATCTGATAACTTCAAATTCTTGCTTCCGACAACAGATATCAGTAAATCCTTTATCTAAAAAAGAGAAATAAAAAATATGATACAATTTCTTTGTGCAGTTTATTTTTTAGTCTTAGGATTATAACTCAGGGTTTCCCCAAGTTATAGTCAAATGAGCAAATTAAAAAATAAAAATTAAAACTAAAAATTATAATAACATATTTGCAAGGCAATGGTAGAAACCAGTATTAAACCGTTCATTTTCGACCAAGGTACATCTACTCTTCCATTAGATCGGGAGCAGAAGAGACTTAGACTCACATGAACAGTTTGAAAAGGGCGTGACTGTATTTACGAATGCCCTAAATATAGTTGTTCATGCACAAAACGAAGCCCCCGATACCCCCTCGGAACATTCCTGGACATTTCTAGAGCGTTCAACAACGTCTCCACCGAATTATTTGACCCCTAGACAGATAAGAGCAGAATGGAACGAGACTAAAATGAGCGAGGAAATCTGTAGATGTATTCCCAAAGGTGGAGAGCTGCCCCCGCTTCTATTGAAATTAATAGTGAATAAACTGCAAAGGAACTTGGAAGACATACCCCCTAAGATACAGACGTATGCGGCAACATTGTCATTTTAATAACGGGTAGGCACCTACCATTAGAAATATTATGACCACTACTTTCTACATTGTTCAGAACTGGACATCGCAAGCGATTCTTTCAAGGACCACTGAAAGTACCTTGGGATATTCTTGTACAGCAAACTATTGTGGAAGCACAACGTGAAAGAAAGAATGAAAAAAGGATGCAAGCTTTATATGTTTGTAGGCAGATGCTCTGTACAACTTGGGGGCTCTCTCTCTCTCTCATGCGCTGATGGTACATTGCTATTGTTAGACCAATTTTGCTCTACGGTGCAGTAGTATGGAGGACAGGCGTAAGGAAATCCACTTACCAGAATATACTGTTCAGAGTTAAGCATAAGACTTAAAAGGTTGTCGAATCACTGCAGYATGTTTCAAGCTGAAGCCTTTGCTATTGCGAAAGCCGCGGAGCTGGCCTATAATGCACCTGTAGGGAATACCAGAGTCAACATCTACTTGAGCAACCAATAAAGTAACTTCGTATTCACTTCTACTTGGTGCTAGCCGACAAAGGCATCGCGGGCAATGTAATAATCAGCGGGATTGCCAAAAATGGTGTGGGGATAATATTCGAAAACGTGATCAACATTTGGAAACTGTATACGATAATCTTGGCAGAAGCATGGAAAAGAAACTCAAAGCTCGATCTAGTGAGCTACCTGGGTGCAAAATTGTAAAATTAATGTGCAAAACGGTATATCGGCAGTACACAAATGTCTATTGGCACTCGATAGAAGAGACTGTACTTGTAGGAACATGATGGGAACACTAACTCGTCACTGTCTAGTCGGGTCAGTGATACCTCTAGTAAAAATTAAGCGAAAATATATTGTGCCAAACCTAAGCCGCAAATTTGAAAAACAAAAGTCTAATATAGTGAAAATAATTGCCTTAAATAGGAGGGGTTTGAAAATCTTTCAATAGTGGGTGTGCCCCGCCCTCTAATAAGTTTAATATATATTTCACCACCTACTCCCCTTATAACGGTTTTATAAAAATATACTAAAAGTGTGATAAATCAAAGAAAAAACGCATCAGAGGAGTGGCATCGCTCGCATTAAGGGGAAATCACGTATCTTACTTTGGGCTTACTGAACATTTTAACCAAATTCGGTAAATTCCATTTTTTGTATATTTTTATTATGGAAAGCGAACTAGTGCAGTACGAAATCAAACACTAATGAATAAAACTGGATAACGCTTTGCACAAATAGTGCCTCTAAAGTAGGCCACCGCAAGTTCAAAAATTGTGAACCCCAGAACCTTGGCTGACCTTTTATAAAAAATATCGTTCAATATGTGAGATACAAAAGTGAAATATGAAGAGAATCTTTTTTAGATAATAGTATGTAAAAAATCGGGTTAATACTTAACCCTCCATATAGACCTATATGTGAACTATCTTAATAAAAATGAGTGAGCGTGTTTTCCTTAAAACCGTGTATTCTTCTGCTTAAATTTAATACAATTAAAACTTGTCGAATCTCCTTATAACTAATATCAGAATTTTCACACATTCGGTTGACTTTACTCCATATACAAGGTGCGTTGCAAAGAAAATCTAGCGCCCACTATATGTCGTCTGGTTCGTTAGAATCTGCCATCTTTATTTCATGACATTTCATCGATTCTCAGTGAAGTTAGTGCGTTTTAAGTGTCAGTATGTTTGTGTTATCGGTGCGCAAATCAGCTTCGAACAAAGAGCCAACATTAAATTTTGTTCCAAATTTATACCGAAACGTTGCAATTGATGAAACTAGTTTATGGTGTTATTGCCTATCCTGTAGTAGAGTGCACGAGTGGCTTTAACGTTTTCAAAGTGGTCATATGGACATAAATGACGATCAACATGTGGGGCAATCAAAATCCGTGATCACCAGAAATTCCATCGAAACTGTGCATGAATTCACCAAAAATCAGCCGAAATCATCATTGAAATTCATGGAAATGGTATTGAACATCTCCAAACCATCGAGTTATCGCATTTTGAGGGAATATTTGGGCTTACGAAAGGTTGTTCCGCACCAATTGACTGACGGCCAAAAATTGCTCAGAATCCAACATTCGAAGGACGCTCGTGACCGATTAGTTGATATGACCAAAAATCACATTTTAACCATTAACCACTCTTTGTATTCTCCTGATATGGCACTGTGCGACTTCTTCCTTTTCGGAAAAATGCATTTGCCCATTGCGTTATGCAGACGTAGAGGCCATTCAAAAAGCTTGCACCGGCATACTAACGGCCATACCGGCCAACGAGCTAAAGCACTCCTTCGACATGCTTTTGTACCGTACAAAAAACTGAATTGAAGCATTGATTTTGCTGAAAAAGCCATTTGTTCTGTTTTTTAAGTCTGGTTTACTTTGGAACGCACCTTATGTAATGAAATGAAGCTCAGGGATTATCTCTTCTGTTATCAACATCTTGTAATGTTAAAACTTATCTCTCATATTTACTTTTTATATATGCTTATATTAGTGATGGTATATGAAGTACCTTAAAGAAACTCAGAGAGCAAGTGTTTTTATTTAAAAATGGGTCAATACTACCCTTATCTCTCATATACCGAATACAAAAATTTTAAACTTCAGGTACATTTATATATTGGTTAATATGTATGTATCAAAACATATTTTATCAAATTAACGGAATTTATAATACTGAATATACTATAGTTTAATGCGTAAAATATCTGAAATTATATAAAACTACGTATATTATTATTCCTAGAAGTCGTCGATCTATCCGACTGTCCGCTTGTTAAGGAACGTATTCCTTGTAATAGTAAAAATCCTAACAACCTTGAGTTGGAATAATTGAAATGCACTATCACTACAAAAAATAATCCTAAACAAACAAGTAAATTAAAGGATGAAAAAAAGTAAGCAAATATAAACAAAGAAATCTTTGGGATCAATCTCAACAACGACAACATCCACCAATCCCAATGGACGTGGATCGACTTTGTTAAAGAAAAACATCGAAAAATTTTAAATGACGGAATAACACAGCCAATAAGTCCAAAAAAGCACCGAAGGCAAGGCAAGCCATGAAAGGAAAATTATTGTTGAATTCTAGAAAATTAACGCTAATTCAAAACTAAAATATAAGAGAAAAGAAAAAATCATATGAAACACGAAAAACTAATTAGTATATAATATAAAAAGGTATTAATTTTCAAATAGCAGAAGCATCAAAAGTCAATTTGGCAGCCGAATTGGCGAAGAACAAATGTAGTAAATTTAACAACAAAAACGATTTCATTCATAAACGCAGGCGCAAATTTTACAATCGACTTCGCTTCATTCATAAAAACAGACGTCGTTACATCTCCCCGAGCATGCCTTTGCCTACAAGCGTCTTTTCGTGACGATGGCAAAAGCTAAAAATCATAAATTGAACAACTTTCTGATGCTTCTTCACAGAAAGAAGTCAGAAAAGTGGCAACAACGGAGTTGTCGATTTATAATATTTGTCCATTCTAAAATATTTTTCCTTGACTCGTTCGTTTATTTTTTTCGGCACAGCTTGGATTTTCTATCATCACACAAGTGCTGAACCAATGAGCGCGGCAGATATTAGAATATACACCTTCTTAGGGACACATGTATTGAGGCAGCTGCACAACTACATAACTATGTCCCTAAGAACGTGTGTATTTTAATATTTGACAGATGTCGTTTGCAGTCTGTCGTGCACAATGTGTTCAGCACTTGACTCTTTGACAAAACCCAAGTTTCGGCCACCTTGACAACGAAGATGCGAAAGAAGCGTGCGACACTTGTTATTAATTCAAATGTGACCTTATTTTTTGGGCACATATGTATATGGCTCGCATTTGCTTTCGTAAACATACAGAACAAATGTGCCAAAGAAATAATATATTATATGTACATATGCATGTGTCATAGAAATTCTATTGGTACAAATATGGAAATGATAATGAAATAATGCGAACAAGCATATTTCATGAAGGTCATGCTTTTTTGTAGACATTATGATATTCTTCAATATTGTTGTACATTATTTTGTTCTATCGCTAATAGTTTCGGCAGCGCATTCGACGAAAGACATTTTAAAACTCATTTTTCTACACCTTCTGTTACATTGTTCAAATTTTACCAAGGATCCCTAATTTTTTCAAATTGAAGTGTAGCCTATGTCAAATTGGAAGAATGCAGCATTCTATTGGTGAAAGAATTTTTTAAATCGGCCCAGTACTTTTTGAGCCTATTCATTACAAACATACAAAAATAGGTAAAAATCTTTCTCTTTATAATATTAGTGTAGATTAATCAAACACATACATTACTAATTATACGCCGACTTCATTTTAACAGAGGAGAGTTAAGGATCGTATTCCTTATAATAGTAAAAAACCTCAAAACAACCTTGAGTTTGAATACCACAACAACCGTATCTTAAAACAAAGCAAATGTTTTAAGCAAACAATATATATGTAAACAATTCTAAACAAATAATACAATCTGTATTTAAACAAACTCTCAACTAGTAATAAGTAAACATACTACTTAGAACAAATAGAAGTAAGAAACATGTAATAAGTTAATCCTAAGAGTATAAATAAAGAGTCCATACTTCTGCAAAGTTATAAATATATATTCTTTTGACTCATTCTGGTAAAAATTAACTCGAGCAACAGATAAGTAAGAAACGGGATATCTTGATGAAGAATGTTCCGGGCATTCTGATACTTCCGTCGACAAAAAAGTGATGTAATCGAAAATCTATAAAGTGTTATAACTAAGCCATAAATTTAGATACACAAATGTATGAAAGATAACAGTGTAAGAAAGGCATTAGTGTGTAACAAAGTTTCAGAAAATTTAGTTTATTTTGGAAAATATTAACCCTTACCGTTAGCCCCATATGCCCAAAACCATGATCGTGCATATGATCCAAGCCCCATAATGCTTGTCTTATGTAGTATGCAATATCTCTTTCAGTGTAGTAGTTTCGCTTAAGTAAATTGTCCTTAACCAGTTCTCCACCAGCTGCTAACTCAATAATTAAGGTAACATTTTTATCAAGGTCATAAGCATCATGTAGTTGAATCAGATTTTTATGATTGAGGCCATTCATTATTTCTAACTCATTTAACATGAACGGTCGTAATTCGTGTCTACCATACATAATTTTCGCGGCGTAGTTATCACCTGTTGCACGTTCAACCGCGTGGTAAGTGATTCCTTGTGTACCACGTCCTAATTCATCACCGATATCATATTTATCATTATAACGGTTTTGTTTCGCTCGAATGTATGGCAATCTTCCATATGTTTTATAGATATATTTGTCTTCATTATCCTCTATATGAAGCATCACAGATGTGCTTATTGATCCTGCCACATTGCGGGCACAAACCGAATATAGACCCTCGTCTTTAATTATTGCATCATTAATTGAAAGTACATAAATATTTGGCTCATAATAACTAGTCTGCAACGAAACAAGAAAATTTTTACGGAATTAATGATAATTTAGAAACTTTTCCATTTTGTATACAGACCTTTATTCGGGCATTGTCAGCCAAGGGTTGCCAGTCTTTATACCATCTGATTTCTGGTAATGGCTCACCAGCAATATGAGCTTCTAAGCGACCATTTTTTCTCATCATTATATAAGTTTCGTCAGGACGCTTAAGGAAGCGTGGATAATCAGCTATCAATAATTTTACTCTCTGCCTAGCTTCCCCATATTCGTTAGTAGCAACGGCTTCGTACCATCCAACATCTCGCTCAAGCATCCTTTCCGCAAATAATAGAAATATCTTGTGTTAGAAACTTTGTTAAATGCAGGGTGGAAATTTCTTAGAACTTAAAAATTCATATACTTGCTCTTCGATAAAAAATAGACTTTTCCAAGCTTAACTATAATTTTCGACATATTATAACATATAATTAGTATATACATATACTATAAGTCGATCCTGAAAGTAGTTCTATTTTTAAACAATTATGCATGTTGGTGCATCTAATTTAAAACTTATTTTAACCACAATGTTTCTATATTATCTAGTAATAACAACTTAAGGAAGTAAAATTTTTCTAAAAAACAGAAGTGAAGATAAAAATATTCATTAATTGGTCAGAAATAGTATTATTTCACTTTAATTTTTGTCTATACTATTTAATTTGTTTAAAATTATTTTCACTTTTTTAATATTAGTTGGCTCTCACTTTTTTATAACATGTTAGTACTGAGCTGTATCAGCCTAACTAAACTAAAACTAATCGAGATAGAGTTACATGTACATATATATCGGGTAGTCGTAAAAGTATTTTCGTATTTTGTCAATATATCATCACCTGAAATGAAAAATAACGTAACAACATTTGCGGAAATTTACAATGGCATGAATGAAACACGAATTAAAATGGAACATGAGAGAAAAATTTAATATTGGTTAAAACTGGTTCATATCTGAGCGCAGAACCTGAAAATGTTGAACATATGTAATATTATGTATGTATGTAATTTGAAGTAATGGAGCGTAATCAATAAGACACTCAGTTTCGAATTTTACGATGATACGTTATTTTGCATTTCAGGTGACTATATGTATGTCGTCGCTACCAATAAAGTGTTGGAAAGGTGAGATTTTAAGCATCATTCAACCAAAAAAATGAAATTCGAGGAAGTTGAAAAAAATTACAGTTTTCAAAAATGTCTCTAGCAGGAAAATGGCAAAAAGAAATCGACTAAAATGGTACATATTTGTTTATTTACTTATTAAATATAAAAAAAATAAGTTGAAGTTTGATTAGAAATACGAAAAGACCTTTTCGACTACCGAATATATACCTTAATTAGCGAGACGAGTCGAAAATATGGTGCTCCCTAGGACCGGTATTGCAGATTGGCGGAATCGGAATAAGAGTCCATACTTCTGTAAAGCTCAAAACATATTCTTTTGACTCATTTTTACTTCTGGTAAAAATTAATTCGCGCAATAGATGACTTGAGTAAGAAACGGGATATCTTGGTGAAGAATGGCATTCTGATACTTCCGTCGACAAAAAAGTGTCGTAATCGAAGATCTTAAAATGTTATAACTAAGCCATAAATTTAGCTACACAGATGTATGAAAGATAACAGTGTAAGAAGGGCATTAGTGTATAAAAAAGTTTCAGAAAATTGAGTTTATTTTGGAAAATATTAACTCTTACCGTTAGCCTCATATGCCTTTTTACTGTATGGAACAAATATTGTTTATATATCTCATTGTTTGTTCTATATATCATCACTTAAAAGTCAAAAATTTTGAAATTTTAATTTCTTGAGGATAACCATTGATGGAGATCGTAGTACAAAGTTTTAAGTTTTTGGCATAATATTTATTATTATTTTGCATTTTTATTATTTTATATTGTTTTTACTTACTCATAAAAACTTGTGAAAGGTAATGTTGCGTTAATTTGAATTTTAGGTGAGACCGTCCTGAGTAGTGAACCAACAGCACATTTCTTTCTACTAATAGGCCGATACACTATCTGTCGTTGCATGCTTATAATCTATCATGAGCCAGCTTTTTTGTTAACACAGAAGCATATAGTATAAATAGATTTTTCGTGAAAAGTTTTCTGATTGTATGCAAAGTGCTATCCAAGTGCTGAATTTGTGCCGAGTAAGTAAATGTTATGCGAAGTCATTGAGTGTTTTCAAGCTATTTGCCGAGCCAATATTGGTTCATCTTTATTGAGATTGTGAATATTTTGTTGCACACATCTTTAAAATTGCGTCATGACTGGGTTGTGAACCATCTCGGTGGCAGTACCGATTTCTGTCAATAGACAACTTGATCGTAAAGTTTTTTTGATGTGTGTTGTTCACTTTTACTTTAAATATTCATCATATTCAAAAAATGGAGTTAAATCGAGAACACTGCCACGCGTTGTTGCGGAATTGGTTCTGTGCGCAATAGTGGGACCAGCACATGGTATGTTGCATGAACATTTCAGTGTTTCAAAATATTTGTTCACGGTGTTCACACTTCATGGTTCACGGCAACTATTTATCGAACGCTCAAAAAAAAGACCCACCAAATGCCGTTAATCGAACAATTATAAAATGCCATAACTGAGCAACAAATTAAGATACAAAATTGTAATTTCGTACAGCGTTTTGAAGTAGAGAAGGGCATCAGTGGGTTTTTGATAAATTGAACTTGTCCCCGACTCATTAAAGCTATATCAACCAAATTTGCTGAGGATAAATATTTTTGCAATGTCAATCGACGGTCTGAAAATGCTTACTTCCCATATAACGGTTATGTTGGAAACTACAAATGTGTCAGAAGCATTAAATTTGAACTACTATAATATGTGTTTAATATTTCTTGGTTTAAACCTCATATCTGTAATATGGTGTCATCTCGTCGATATTTTCCGCATATATAATACATTGTCTATATAAAATTTCTCTTTTTTGATAGGTTAGCTTGATTTGAATATAAGTATTTCGGATATCTAGCAAAACAATGAAACTAAGTGAGCACATCACTTATAATATAAATTATACTAATAAAATACAAAATATGATGGTAACCGATTCCCATTTGTTGAATAATGTATATTGAATTCTCACCCAACATTTTTGAATTCCAAGGATAAACATATATGTGCATGTATTGTGGTATGCTAAGAAAACTATGTCAACGGCATTTTGAAATTTGTTCCAAAGCAATTGGTGTTTTGTACTACAAAAGATTTCAGGAAACCATTGGTCCCATCGGTCGCTATAAAGTTTTGTCATTTTAGAAAGCTGTGTGCACAATGGATACCGCTAACAATGGAACAAAAACTCATTCAAATGCGACTGTCTCAGCAACATTTCGAGCGTTTTAAAAAGGATAGTGATAAGTGATAAAGAAGATAACACCATGGTCCTGAATCAAAACAAGAAGCTAAAGAGTGGTGTAAACCTGATTGTTTGGCTTGGAAACAAGTTCGTGTCCGGAAATCGGCGAGAGGAATTTTGTTTGTAGATTACTTGCAAGTTGGTAAAACAATTAATTCTGAATATTATAACAACCTTTTTAACCAGTTGAAGAAAAAAAAATCGTTAAAAAATAACAGATTTTCAGGAAAAAATCCTTTTTCATCAGTACAATGCATCATATTTGGCTCCCAACAACTTCAATTTGTTTCCAGAACTGAAAAAATTTATGCATGGCAAGCATTTTTCAACGGCCGTTGAAGCGTATTTTGCAGACCTTCTGGATTTTCACTTCAGTGATGGGATCCACAGATTAGAGTATCGTACGGTATTAATGAGATTATACTGAATAATAAAGTGTATTTTGAACCATAAAATTGTGTTTTTCTTATCAAACGTTATTCTACTCCAGAATTTTGAAAAATTCGATTTTTTTTCATATATTTAAAGTTTAGACCCTTAAGAACATATCCTCCAAAGGATTTCTAGAAAATTAAAATTATTTTAAGAGCTGCAGTTACTTTAGTGACGCAGTACCTAGCGCACTAATAAATGACTTAGACTGCCTGAAATTTGACTCACTTTTTTAAACGCGTTTTTCTCGAAACTAATTTTTTCCCAACGGTACCGGCATTATCTCAAGTTCTATACAACTTGAAATGTGTGAACCTTCTTTATATAATCCTTTATCGTTCCTACCAGCATCGTGGCAAAATTTTTGTTTTTAATATTTTAAAAAAATTCAGTAATTAAAAAAAAACGTAAAAAATTATTTTTATTTTCAGGCAGTCGTCATTTTTCAAAAAAAAAAAACTTTTCGTGTGTTCTGAGGTAGGGATTGTAACAGCATCCTTACTGAGTAAGAATTTCTTTTGATTTTTTTGTTTCAGACCCCAGGAGAGTCAGGATCAATGTCACCAGGATGAGTAGAAGTAAGTAAGTAGTAAAATATATTTTTTGGTTTTTTTAAGTACAATTCAAAAAACTGCCCAAAATTTGATTTCTAGACTAGAATAAGCGAATTGAACCAACACCACTATGTGAACAATAATCCGATACCATGATTTCGACGCCGCCAGTTCAACGATTTTTGTTGTAAAACCGGCAATTATATATTACATCTCATTATATATTTTAAGTTAGGTGAACGCCTAAAGCTTATACTACCAAATAACTAAACTTTGGATTCATTCTAACCACAATATGTTTCGCCATTTAGCCACGTGTCGGGAGAGATGCTCTTTTGTAAATTGTATGAGGGCTTCGGCGTGTTTCTTTTTGAGTAGCGGTACTTTCGTGAGCTTCTGGCAAATAATTTGTTCTGCGCCAAACGCCTACGATTAATTTTGCAGTAGCATACTATATTGCGGTCAACTACAGTGGATCTTTTATTTTTATTTCTATAAATTAAGGCATGTCCTACCCTTTGAGGAGAGGATTTTACGATTTCTTGGATCCTTTATAAGATTTTTCTAATTTTTTCAATTTTTTTATCGTTTCCCGCTTTTCCTTTGTACAATGCATTCCTCTACCCAATGGAGAACCCACATACCAAGTTTCATCGAGATATCTCAATTTTTACTCAAGTTACAGCTTGCATGTACGGACAGACAGACCGTCAACGGGATTTTAACTTTTCTCGTCATCCTGATCGTTTATATATATGTATATAACCCTATATTTATTTCGCTTAGTTTTAGGTGATACGTTCAACCGTTAGGTGAACAAAACTATAAAATTCTGTAACGACTGGTTGCAAGGGTATACAAATGCGTTAACTTGGCTTGCACTTTAATACCCTTCATACAAA